TCTCTCTCTCTCTCTCTCTCTCTCTCTCTCTCTCTCTCTCTTTCTCTGAGCATAACTCATCTAATAGTTGCACTCATAGCCTTGTCTGGCCAGGGAAGAACATCATTTTTTCGGCTGTCATTGCTAAATTACCGCACTTCAAGGTCCTCTCTGCTTGATTCGATTCAGCAGCGATGCTGCTGAGGTTGAAGTTGCCTGTCTCCCTTGAGCCTGGCAGCAAATCTGGCAGTCAAGCACCGCCAATCAGTAGCCGCCGTTTTCCATTTCAAACTAAAAAGGATTACGGCTTTTTGGTTGCTTGAAGGTGAAACAGAAGAAGAAGAAGAAGAAAGTGCCTGCTTTGCGAAGAAATTGAGACTTGAAATTTGAGTATAAAGACGAGCGAGAAAAGCGAAACTTTTTACCCAGCACACAATCATTTTCACGCGTGCATTTGAACAAGCGCTTTCCATTTTTTTCGTAAAACATAATCAGCACTAGCACTTGAAATGGCCAACTTTACCCGTCCCAGTCTCAGCATGCCAGCAACCAACCTTATGCTCGCTTTTATTCTGAGCAGTTTCTTCTTCCTCACACTGCTCGCAACTGAACTACCATCGCCAACATCACCATCATCAACAAAATCCCCAGAATCGCCCGAATCACCCGAATCAGCACAAAGCATTTTTGCAACTCTCAATTCATCCTCAACTGACGACCAGCACAACCAGCAGCAGAACCTGACACTGCCCGAGTGCATGCAGATTCTCTTCAGCCACGCCCGGGCCTGTTCGGTGCGCCTGCAGCTGGGCGCCCGTTTCGGCAGTCGGGCCCTGTCCACGGTGGCGCCCACCACCTGGAACCAAACTTTCTGTTGCAAAATGCAGGCGCTACATGACTGCCTGAAAGAGGTGGTCATCAGGGAGCGCTGTGAGGAGCGACTGGCGTACACCGGCGTCACGGGCCGTTTTCAGGAGAAGGACCGCCACTGCAGTGTTGACCTGCTCAAGAAGTGTTAAAATGTTTAATTATTTTATGAAAAAAAAGATTAGATTTGATGGCAGATAAAACTTTTCCCCCTTTTTTAGCAAAATTATTTGTGCCAAAAGTATTAGTTATTGACTGTTTTTGTTTCTTTTTTTTTTGGTTTTTTTATAAGTTAACTGCCGCTGTTTCATTTTAGCCTTTCTATTTACAATCTTCACTCTATCAACTATCATAGTTATTTTCAAAATATATAAATTGCTCTTTATAATAGGAAAACAAACACATGCACATAAAAATGTTTATTAAAGTTTTCTTTTTGAATAAAATACAAATTTTAGGTTTTAAATTAAATCAGAGTACTGTTATAATTGGTGCAGCAAAATGAATCAAGAAAACAGCAGCAGCAGCAGCAGCAGCAGCAGAGCACTTGAACAATTGGCAGCGCACCAGTTCACATTAAACTGCCACTGATGCTGTTCCCTGTCACAGTGGCTGAGCAGGAAAGCCTGCCTTGTGCCCATTAAAACTGCTGAATTGTGGCCACCGCACTGCGTGGTACCTTCATTCATTCACTTGATGTTTGCTGCCTGCTGCAGGGCCATAAGTTGTGCTTCATCAAAAAGAGGATTATCAAAACCCTTTAGAACCAAAAGAGCTGTCAATTACACGCAAACTAAATTTAGAAAAATTTCATCTTTTTTATTAAAAGTAGGTGTCAAAAATAATTACGACCAATAATTTCAATCAGTAAAAGAGGCCATAAAAGAGAAAAATAAATAAATAAAAAGGAGAATTGGTAAAGGAAAAGTGGGGGGG